ACTACAAAGTTTTTCCAAGTAGGGACATGAAAGATTAAGTATGAATATCACAAGGGCCTACCCTATACTTTTGCTTAGTTGGTAGTATCTTGAATACTCTATCGCTGCTACTGTGATACAATTCTCTGTATTGCATGCACTAAAAAGATGATGAATATAAAGAGAAGTTGATGAGTGATATGCTGAGGACTGAGTTTGCAAAGACCCCACGTGTGCTGCTACATAGATCATTTTGTCTACTACTACTATGTACAAGCCAAAGACCAACAGTACTAATAATTTATACTAGTGACAAACTAAATGATTCCTCTTACACCATCTTTTGATTGAGTAGCTCAAATCTCAATGTTTTATTTTTTGCTTTAGGGAATCGATCGATATCCGAAACTTATTGTCCTGATTTATTTTGATTTGTGTCAAATATGCTTACGGGGATATAAAAATACTTCTTACTAAGAGAACATGACCAATAAAAAGTTAGTAACAGCTCATAAGTCAAAATCACTTTATTGGCTCCTTAAATTCTACTTAATGAACGACAATTATAAAGATAGGTAGGGTTTTGCATAGTTGCTCGTGGGATTATCTAATTTTGCGGTGATAAACATGCCACAGGCACTATGGCGAACAGCAGGTCCACCTTAATGCCATTCTGATTAGTGGGATGATAAGCTAAAAAACAACCCTATTGATGATAATCACTTTATTGAACTATATCATTGTGAAGTGTTTCCCCTTTTCTATTCTTTTTTATTTTTAAATGAACGGCGAGGATACAATTCCTAGCTTCGGAATATTGAACTTACAACTTTAGTGATCTGTGTTTCTTATCAAATCATCCTACGTGGTCTTTTGTTTAGATTCCCTTCGTTATATGTAGTGCTAAATTACTTAACTATTGGACCAGCCCGGCCCAAGGATGGCCTTGTTAAGCTGGGCCTAACAGGGCTTGTTTCGATCAAGGCTGGGCCTCTGCTTAACCGGCTAGTTAAAATGCCAAGAAATGGCGTGGTATAGCCACTTTTTAAAGTGGTATTTACTTTTTAGCCAATATTTTTAATATTGAGCAAAAATAGCCACTACTCTATTAAAATTAATACAAAAAGTCATTTTTACCCTTTCTTCATGAGTGATGTGTAAATATTAAGGACATGGTGTCCTTAATTTCATGAGTGTTGTGCAAATATTAAGGACAAACCATGTCTTAATATTTTACACATCACTCATGAAGTTAAGAACACCATATCCTTAATATTTTACACATCACTCATGAAGTTAAGGACACTATGTCCTTAATATTTACACAATACTCATAAAGTTAAGAATACTATGTCCTTAATATTTACACAATACTCATAAAGTTAAGGATACTATGTCCTTAATATTTACAATGCACACATGAAGTTAAGGACACCATGTCCTTAACATTTATACTGCACATATGAAGTTAAGGACATGATGTCCTAAAGTTTAACAACAGAAGGTACAAATGCAAGTTAAGGACATTATGTCCTTAATATTTACATTGCACACATGAAGTTAAGGACACTATGTCCTTAACATTTACGCTCCACATATGAAGTTAAGGACATGATGTCCTAAAGTTTAACAACAGAAGTTGCAAATACAAGTTAAGGACATTATGTCCTTAACATTTACATTGCACACATAAAGTTATGGACACCACGTCCTTAACATTTACACAATACATATGAAGGTAAGGACATGATGTCCTAAAGTTTAAATACAAGTTAATGACATTATTCCTTAACATTTACATTGCACACATAAAGTTATGGACACCACGTCCTTAACATTTACACAATACATATGAAGGTAAGGACATGATGTCCTAAAGTTTAATAACAGAAGTTGTAAATACAAGTTAAGGACATTATATCCTTAACATTTACATTGCACACATGAAGTTAAGGAGACCACGTTCTTAATATTTACACTGCACATATGAAGTTAAGAACATGATGTCCTAAAGTTTAACATCATAAGGTGCAAATACAGGACACTTTGTCCTTAATATTTACACAACACTCATGAAGTTAAGGACACCATGTCCTTAATATTTACACAGCACCTATGGACACCACGTCCTTAACATTTACACTGTACATATGAAGTTGAGTACATGATGTCCAAAAGTTTAACAGTAGAAGGTGCAAATACATGACACTTTGTCCTTAATATTTACATAACACTCATGAAGTTAAGGACACTATGTCCTTAATATTTACACATCACCCATATCTAGCACGTGGGCATTTTTGTTCGGGCGGGTAAAAATTTATTAAACACTCGCTAAAGAGTAAATACATTTAAAACAGTGGCTAAAAAGTAAAGACATCTCTAATTAGTGATTATTTATGTACTTCCCCCTTAAAATGCGGGGGAAGTGTACGGTTAGCCACTCATTAGAGATGTCTTTACTCTTTACCCACTGTTTAAAATGTATTTACTTTTTAACCAGTGCTTAATAAATTTTTATCCGCCCGAATGAAAATATCCTTGTGCTAGACATGGGTGCTGTGTAAATATTAAGGACATGGTATCCTTAACTTCATGAATGCTGTGTAAATATTAAGGATTAAGTGTCTTATATTTTCACCTTCCGTTGTTAAACTTTAGGACATCATGTCCTTAACTTCACATGTGCAGTGTAGATGTTAAGGACATGACGTCCTTAACTTCATATGTGAAATGTAAATGTTAAGGACATAATGTCCTTAACTTGTATTTGCACCTTCTGTTGTTAAATGTTAGGACCTCATGTCCTTAACTTCATATGTGCAGTGTAAATGTTAAGGACATGGTGTCCTTAACTTCATGTGTGCAGTGTAAATGTTAAGGACATAGTGTCCTTAACTTTATGAATGTTGTATAAATATTAAGGACATGGTGTCCTTAACTTCATGAATGTTGTGTAAATGTTAAGGACAAAGTGTCATGTATATACACCTTCCGTTGTTAAATTTTAGGATATCATATCCTTAACTTCATATGTGCAGTGTAAATATTAAGCATATGGCGTCCTTAACTTCATGTGTGCAGTGTAAATGTTAAAGACGCCATGTCCTTAATATTTACACAGCACTCATGAAGAAAGAGTAAAAACGTCTTTTCGTATTAATTTTAATAGAGTAATGGCTAATTTTGCTCAGCATTAAAAATATTGGATAAAAATTAAATACCATATTAAAAAGTGACTATCCCAAGCTATTTTCTACTTAAAAAGCTTGAACCAGCCTAGGCCAAGGATCAACAACCGGCGGACCGGTTCTTGGTGGGTCGCGACAAGAGCATATCTAGAAGGTCGGTTAAAGTTTTATGTGAATCTAGTAGCTTTTAGCTAGATCTTCTTTATACCGTATATGTTAATTTATAGTGGCATGTGAATTCAGTAGTTTTTAGCTAGAGCTTCTTTATATATATATATATATATATATATATATATATATATAAAAACTGATTATCTATAAATAGTTTAGTGTAAACCCAATTATCATTGTAGCTAGTATGAACTTGAGGTTGCTGTAGGAATCCAAAAACTTCAAAATCTCGAATTTGTCTTTGAATCTAGGTAGGTTATTTTATCTTACTTAGTAAAGGTCTATGTCCAATTGGTTGATGCTCTCTCCATAGAGAGAAATAGTAATATTGGATATTGAGATATCAAGTGACTCCACGGGCAGCAACTCAACGACTTTGTTTTATGCTGGAGAAACTTGCTACCAGAAAGGCATGATTGGTCATGAATTCAGATTTTAAAGAAGTGCAAGCTGAATTAGTTGCAGATAGGTGGGAACAATTTGACTTGTACCAGAATAAAAGTAAATTTTCTGACTTTAACCAGGGATCATAAGATTTCCCCCAAGGAAGCAAAATATATTTCGTCCTTGTTTCACCAACCAATTAAAGGGAGGTGGATACATCAATATTGACATACAGTATTTTGTACTCTGTGTACCAATGCTACTCAGAGTTTATACACTGATGGTGTTTTTGTACATTTGCTAATTCAAAACATAAATGTAAGAATCATAATAAGTGAAATTAGTATCATAAAAAAATAAAATTACTTGTAATCTTCTATATCAAGTAACAGTTTAATTTTTTTTATACTTTCCATGGATATAAATTAAAACCTTCAAAGGATGCCTTGTGTTTTTAATACATGCAGAGGCGGAGCTAGGATTTCAATCCTATGAGTTCGAGATTCTAATTCTTTTAAGTTACTTGGGTTCAAAATTGATATTTGTATATAATTAATGAAGTTTTAAAAGATAAATATAAGGTTTGAACCAGAGGTGGATCTAAGATTTTTATAATATGGGTGCACTACTAAAAAGGGGAAAAATAAAAGTATTAAGTGAGAATTGATCCCTATTCCTCTAGCTAAATAACTTAGTATTCAACCAAGTGCATAATTTAGCCTTTTGGGAACATGGATGCCACTAGGTAATATTTGATCAATTCTAAAAAATATGTACATAAAATACATAGTTTGACGGAAAGACCAAGGGTTCACGTGCCCCATACACTGGGCTATAGATCCGCCCCTGGTTTGAACCAAAGCTACTGGGTTCGACCGAACTCGTAGTTGGTACTGTGGTACCGGCCCTGAATACATGTATAAGTTTTTACGTACTTGTTTTCTATAACAATTAGGGTTTAAGACTAATTAATTCCACTAATCAAACATTTTCCTTGTTACGTTGCATGCAATTCCAATCAAGCATAAATGCTTTAGTACTATCCGCTTGGACCTATTAAATCTAACGTGCTTTTTCTTAATTCTTACTATTCGTAGATACTAGTAGTACTAATAATACAAGTTTTACTTTAAATTTCTCGCAAGCCCTTCTTGTGCTAATCTATGTCGTTTGTTTGGTACTCAAAAGTAAGTCAGCGGGGACATATTTACTATCATCATACAGCAGTTATAAAAATATAAACTTGAATTTTTATTCGAATATGAGGAACATATGAATAAAAAGTAATAAATCATTCTTAAACTCATGATTCGAAGTAACCATACAGATCAACAAACACAATGAAAAACTGAAAATATGATAATTAAAAGTAAATACAATTATAAAATCACCAATATTACCATTTGACCATGCATATATTGCATAATTACATCCTCAAAAGTATTCTCAGTTCCCATAATACCATTTATTCAAGCAGACATAGCGACCTTTGGAGCTGCAGGTGCAAGTTCACGAGGATTCAAGTAAACTTTAAGCCCATTCTTCATGAACAAAGTTAGAGACATTTTCTGTTCAACTTTATGACCTGGAACCGGTAAAAGCCGGTAACGAAGCAATATAGCAGCAGCCACAGATTTCATCTGGAGATAAGCCAAATCTTTGCCTAAGCAAGTTCTCGGTCCACCATTAAATGCCACAAATTTATACCCATCCTTTGGCGGTTCGAACCGGTCTCCTCCGGTCGAGAGCCATCTTTCCGGTTTAAACTCCATGCAATCCTCTCCCCAAACCGTTTTCATTCTCCCCACAGAGTAAATAGAATAAGTCACAGTCGAACCGGCTGGGACCCACGTGCCATCTGGCAAAACATCATCAGAAATGACATATTTGAAATCTTCAGGGACTGAAGGGTACAAACGTAAAGTCTCAGCTAAAGCTGCTTTTAGATAAATCAATTTATCAGCTTCATCAAAAACCAATGGCTCTTCAATCCATTTTTCGCAATCTTCACCACGGCTTTCTTTTAAAACAGTTGATATTTCTTCAATTATCTTATTTTCCACGTGGCGGTTGTTCATGACGTTCCAGAAGAACCAGCTCATAGCCACTGATGACGTGTCACGTCCAGCTAGGACAAAGTTTAAAGCAATGCGTTTTAGTACATCACTTGGGAAGGAATTGCCGTTTACGTCCTTTTTCTTCATAAAACGTGACAATAAATCATCGGATGGACTTTCCTTACGTGATTCCAATGCCTCCGAAATGTAATTTTCGACAACTTGGAGGCTTTTTTGTAATCTTTTTTCAGCTCCAATGCCTAAAATTTTTTTCAACCTCCACAGAAAATAAGGGTATAAAAGTCTTTGCATTGTGGCCTCAGTGGCTGAATCAAAAGCTATAGCAAATGGATTTTCAGGCATTTTAGGGGAAAGTGTTTCAGGGTCTTTACCAAAAGTAAGTCCGCAAATATTATCAAAAGTTAAACGTAGCAATAAATCTTGTAATTCGACAGGACTTTTCTCCTTAGCAGCTTTATCCAAAATTACCCATAAACGAGTTCTGATGGTCCGGTTCACCCACCGGTTCATGGCTTGTCGAAGTGTCCGGGTTGTAAACTCAAGAGCTGCGGTTTTCCTCTGCATGAGCCACGTGTCACCGTCGCTGTTGAATATACCTTGACCCAAGAGGTCATCGAATGCACTTTGCCATGTTGGCCCTTTGGGATAATTATCAAACCTACATGCAGGAAAATCAAGTAGCAAACAAATAAAGTACAAAAAAAAAAGAAGCATAATGCTAGCTGCATATGAAGATATTTTTTCCCTTTAAATATGTATAATGCATCAACAAGTTAAGAATAACTACGCTTCAAACAAGTTGATATAGGCTAATACATATTCTTAATGTCATTCCATTCAACTTCCTCGTAGACCAATAATATACTCCTCCATTTTAATATATGTAAATCGTTTTGATTGTGCACAACATTTTGATAAAGAAATGAATACTTTGAAACTTGTGATTTTAAAGAAGTCATAACATTTATGTAAATATAAGATTTTTTGAAACTTGTGCTCTTACACATATCATATTATTTGTATAGCTATAAATACTTTTTATTAATGGTAAAATTAATAGTTTATTTGAAATGTAGAAAGTGATTATCCTTTTAAAAACAGACTAAAAAGGAAATAGGTGTATAAAATAAAAATAAAAAAGTACCCGAAGTTCACTATAATAAGTATTGTATAAATTTCTTACAGGACTAAAAGACCTAGAAAGAATAGGAAAAAATACATTAATTCTACTAATAGTATTTTTAGAATTAAAAAAATAAATAAATTAAACCTGGTTCGAAGGATGTGTTCGATGTTCTTTGGGTGACATGTGACAGTATAGAACCCTTGTTTCCAAGCAAGAAATGGTATGCAAATGGTGGACGTTTGATATGTAGCAGCTCCACCTGTGGAACGTAGATTTTCAGAAATCCAGTCGTGGAATCTTCTTCTGTTCATGAAGGTGTAGGGGAGGCTACCGACTAGTGGCCACACTTTTGGACCCGTGAGCCTTTGGGCTAAGAGCCAGAACCAGAGGAGATAAACTGTAGTTGCAGCTGCTATTCCAAAGTAAATTACTACAGGATCCATATGATTGTTTATCTTTTCCCTTCTTCTGTTTTGGTTTTCGTTTATGCGGAGTAGAGAAGAAAAATGAATTAATAGCTTCTCGATCTGGTGGATGATTGGAAGAGAATGTGTTATGGGAATTAAAGGAAGGGCATAGGGTTTTTATATTTACAGAATGCATTAAGGGAAAGGTTTAGGAGAGAGTTGTTGAGAATTTTTTAGCCATGAAGAAGAGAAGGTCCTTATTCGGTTGATAGGAATGGTAATTCATTTTATTTGCATACGCAAGCCCGTATTGGTTTTTCGCCTTCATATGAGTGCACACGTCTCATGTGCGTTACAATTTTTTATTCTTGCCCATGTACTTGTCTCTCATTCTAAGATAATAATCTTATTTCAAAATCTATCGAGTTTTTATTTGTTCAAATCAAACCTTTTGATTGCAGTCATTAATCTAATACCAATAATTTACTTTCTTCGGTAAATACATGAGTAATTAAACTCCATGCATGATACAAATAAATATATACAGTATACTAATATACTCCTATCGAACATTCTTATTTTTCTTTCATTTGTCATCACATGCATGAGGGTTTGAAATCTGTGTGCTATTAATTGTTTAACCATGCAGTATTAATGTAATTAGAAGAGCTAAACAGGAACCCATTACTTGAAGAATGGAGTATATATGAAATTAAACCAACTCTTATAAAATAAAGAACGAAAAAATAAAAGAAGGTACAAACATGACAAAAATTGGGGAGTGGTTGGGAATCGGTTTAGCTGTGTTGAGAAATAGGGCTTTGCTCCAAAAGCTAGAAAATGATTCTAGTATAATGATTCTACCGTAGATATTGGAAGGCTTGAATTAGAAGCTAGCTCAGAAGGACACACCACGCACTTATCTCCTTCGACTCCTACTGACTATAGAGCAAATTTCGGCACATTGCAAAGTCTTCTCAAGCAAGAAATGTTGAAACAGATTATACTTAAACGCAATAAATTTTTACAGCATCAATATATTTTAACCGATTATAATAGGTTATTGGACTATCAAATTATTAGGATTGCTATTTAAACAATTACTGCTTATTATTGTATGTCTAATTAGGAGATATACGAAATTTGTACGGTCGCACAGAAGTTATATATATATACTCGACTGAACCACATGTTCGTATAGATTATAGAGCCTCTTTACTTCCAACTTTTCCTGATTTAGCTCTTTCTTTGGAAAAAGGTTCTTACATCTATAACAACCCTGACTTTTGCAATTCTATAAAGGCATTAGCTGCAACTCATGGAATTAGAATGCCATATAATACAAAAATCACCATACAAGATGTTATGCTTGCTGTTAGAATAAATTATTTAAATAGCTAATGCTGTCACGTCAAAATATTGGACGTATAAGAAACATCTAATGCTGCAAATTGCACTAGAACAGTTCATGCCAGATTGTTTTTAAAGTTCTCTTAGAATTTATGCAACTGCCTTATTTAGAAGAAAACCTTTTCCAACAAAGAGACAAAGATACACCCATATTCCTAAAAGAAAATAACAAGAGGAAGACAAGTTAAATATAGAATTACTTGGTTCGGATAACATAATAAAATGAACTTGATTTTTACCTTGATGTAGCAACAACAACAACAACTACTACGGTTAGTGGCGTACGCAGAATTTTCCGTAAATGATGTCATATTTAAAGAAGAAGAAAAAATGACTCTTTCTGTTTCAAATTAGATGACACATTTCCCTTATCAAGAGTCAATTTGACTAAACTTTGAAGCTAAATTGTTGGTTAGAGCATCTGCTTAGTTAGCGGAGGTCTTGAGTTCAACTCTTAACAAGAATATTTTATTTTCCTGTTTTTCTATATTTCGCTTTAGTTGTACTCGTTGCGCAAAAAAATATAATCGATACATGTTATATCCTTTGTATACACCCATGTATACACTCGATACAAGTTGTATTCTTTGTATACACCCTTGTATTTCGCCTTGGTTACAATTGATACATATTGTATTCCTTGCACGAATGAATATAATTGCGCGAATGAATACAGTTGATACACGTTGTATTCGTTGCGCGAACAAATACAGTTGACAGAGGTTGTATTTGTTGCGCGTTTGAATACAAGTGATACAAATTAGTAACAATTGAATAGTAGCTACGAATGATAATTAGGCAAACTATAATTACTAGGCTCTAAACTATATTGGTTTATGAAAATTCTTCTTTATTTTATTTGCCAAAATGGATGTCTTGCAGTTGATTGTCTTTTTTCCCCTGTAAATTACTCGATAGTCACCGTATTTTCTTTGCCTAGGAAAACTGTGCTTGTGGTTTTGTTAACTATTTTTTGATAAAGAAATTTTGTTAACTATTTTGACAGCATTATTTTCTTTGCCTAGGAAAACTGTGCTTGTGGTTTTGTTAACTATTTTTTGATAAAGAAATTTTGTTAACTATTTTGACAGCATTATTTTCTTTGCCTAGGAAAACTGTGCTTGTGGTTTTGTTAACTATTTTTTGATAAAGAAATTTTGTTAACTATTTCGACAGCATTATGAGGATGCACTTTTAGCCAAGTACCCCGCTATCTTCTAAGTTTTCATATTATTCTTAATTTTCAGAAGCTGATATATATAATATTACAAAATACAATCTGTGGACGAATGGCTAAAGCATTTATTCGTACACAAATCCAGTAGGTTAAGGCATTACTTACAATTCATTTAAGCTCCTGAACAAAAAACTCATTAATTATCATGTTATCTTCTTGATCACTTAAGGCATTAATTTGTCTTATCGGGTAAACTAATAACAGTATCAAAGTATTTGTTTACCCGTAATATGGTATAGTTGATTTTTTAATATAATTTATAGACACGTAAATTAAATTGATCCAATAAAATAAAATAATAATAAGCAAAAGTGAATAAATTAAGCGTAATTGAAGAAAATATGAGTTTGAGCCTTGAATTGAGCTTCCCCGGAAGCAAGAACAATATCAAGAACAAAGTACTTAGCAAAATAATGTTAACATAATAAGAGAGTAATACTTTTTTTAGACCAGTATTTTGTGTCCTTCAATGGGTACAAATTTCTCTATTTATAGCTAAATTTGGGGAGATAAAATTCCCAAATCAAGCTTCTATTTAAGGTGAATAAAGACCCATCTTGATAGCTGCATAACAGTTGAGTGTAAATGCTAGGATTCTCCGTAACGGCTGCTCCTTTAATATTGCCTTCTTCAACCGGTATCTTGCTTTCAATTTCGTCTCTCCGGTGATATTTTCGAAACTCATACAACACCGATCATATGCTTGGATCCGATGTCATATGTTTAATGAATCATCTCCTACGTGTCTTTGCTGTCACATGTTCGCTTGACAAACATCCACTTATCATCTGTTAATTTACCCTATACAGATAGTTCCCTGCTTTCCGGTGACTCAACTTGATATGACTAGGAAGCAGATAAGACCTATTGTCTTGGCAAAAGAGTTCTTGAACGGTTTCTGACACTTGAAAGGACGCACGTCTCTTTGCATTTAATGAGCCGAACACGTGTTATCCTGTAATTCAACAAGTATTTTCGCCACTTACCTAGGTAATGATGGCCTTGCATTCTGCCGCCTATAAACTTCTCCCCTTTTCACCACTTTCATCTTTCACTTTTAGCAACTTTCTTCTTTGAGTTTTCCTAATGCTTTCCTGCAACTCTCTTTTCCTCAACAAAACTTACAAATTCATACTTTCCATCACGACGTCTTCTATTATTTCTTCCTCCGGTTACACATGGACTTGTATCGACGGCGGCCCATCCAAGAAGAATAAGTCTAAGAAATCTGATGTCGGACCTCCCTCTATAAGCACCATCATCCCTTCTCATTTGCCTTGCGTAAATGATCTCCACATTCAGAAGGAATCTTATGACCTTGATAACGACAGAAACATGGATGTTGGTGAATATCCCTCTTCTATTTGCCCGACCAGTATTCCTGTTGTAAAAGAGGATTATGGCTGGAAGAATATTGAAGTTTCAGCCCCCAGTGAAGTGGAATTTTTTCAAAAATAAATTTCAAAAATGTGTTTGTTCATGAAATTTTGAAGAATTATTTTCCCCACTCACAAAACTAAATATTTTTCAAGTGAAATGTATGTTCAAACATCATTTCAAATTCTAAATACTACTTTTCAATTTAACTCCAAATACTACTTTTTTTTTATGTCCAAACGTCTACCAAGTCATAGTATATGAGAAATATCCGAAGATACAAACTTTCGTGTTTGATTGGTATTTGATTTTGGGCAAAATACAAAATTTATCGGTCGGCCAAAATTACTTGATTCGTTAGCTGAAGTTATATTAAATATGTATATATATATTTTTATATATAATACATATATATACACAAAGATAATATATTTTGTCGTCTATTATTTTTGGGAGCGGCTATAAATATACATTTTTCTTTGATTTTTCCTTAGGACTGTGCTTTTCCTGTAGGAATTATTTACATCATGCTTTTCCGGTAGGAGTCATCTACATTATACTGTAGGAAACTAATAGCCTGTTTGGCCAAGCTTCTCCAAATTTAAAAGCACTTTTTTTTAATTAAAAAAAGAGGAAAAAACATAATTGTGCCATATTTCAAAAAATATGACAAAACCTTAGCAGTATATATCATTTAACATTTGGCAGCTACTAAATATTTACATACCATATTAAATACCAATTAGTGATAGGAATCCAGCTGGCCCAGACGAGAATATTGCCTTCCGATTTTTTCGCTCACAAGTATAGTTCCATTTCTTAAACGGATATCTCTATTCGTTATACTACATTTCATAAGTATATACCCCTAACAATATTTTGTATGATAAGTAACTTTGTTTGAAACTTATTTAATAATGATATTTTGATATTTCACGTATTTTGTTTCAGTTATTTATAGGTCTTATATATTTATATATTTCTTAATACTGGTATAATAATTGTATTCATATTTTAGACATGTTTTTTTGTAAAATATTTGTAGCTATTATACATGGTATTTTCTTCTTAGGCTTTATTCATGGTATAATTCAAGTATAATAGTGATATATTATAAATATAAAATATTTATACATGTGGTATATTAATTTAGGGATATATATGATGATTATACAATATAAATTACGTATAATTAATAAAAATTGTATAATCATAAAATATTAGGTATTTTATTTGCAACTTCGAGAGACTTCTCATCTGAAAAATGTCAAATAACCCTTTAAAATGAGTGCATAATTTGGAAAATGAAAAACAAATTTTAAACAAGAAGTCTTAATACATATGTGTGTTGAATCTCTGTTTGGAAAAGGGATGGAAAATGGTGATGAAACCGGACGGATGGGGCCTGGGGGAGGGGGGTTTGGGGAATAGAAAGAGAGAATTGGAAGAGAAAGGGTTTCTAACTCTTATTTTTTGGTTCTAGCTTTTTTGGTAAATTAGGTAACTGTCCTTAATTTGTGCTTTAGTATTTATTTTGAAAAATCATATTTAATTAAATATGCTACAAAAGTAAATAAATCTGCTACTTTTGAAATAAACCAAGAGTCATGTTATTTATATAAAAAGGTTTTGAAACTTGATTTACCATGTAAAAATCTCTTAAAAAAAAGTATTTTTTTTCAAAGTTGAAGTGTTTGGCCAAGCTTTTAGAAGGAAAGAAGTGTTTTTGAGTAGAAATAGAAGCAGTTTTGGAGAATCAGAAAAAAGTAGCTTCTTCTTAAAAACAATTTTTAAAAAATCACTTTTGAGAAAAATACACTTATTAGAAGTACTTTTTAAAAACTTTTGGCCAAACACTAATTGATGCTCAGAAGTGCTTTTTAAATTAATTAGCCAAACACAAACTGCTTCTCACTAAAAGTACTTTTGAAAAAAAGCACTTTAAAAAAAATATTTCTCAAAATAAGCTGATTTTTGAAACTTGGCCAAACAAGCTATAAATACTATGAAAGAACCTTAAGAGGGAGAAGAAAAAGCTGTAGGGGTGGGCATCGGTCGGTTCAGTTCGGTTCGTTTTAATCGGTTCGGTTTTCGGTTTCAAGCCATGGCAAAAAATAATACGAAACAACAAAAATAGATTACTTTTTGCAGCAGATGCAAGTGCTTCTACTGTCTTCAACTAACTCATATACGTATATATATCTTTAAAAATATATACATAAAATACGGAACATATATTTTTCAATAATGTTGCTGTATCAAAGTTTATGTTGTGATGTTGATGATAGTACAGTTTGACACGGAAAAGAGCTAAAGCTAATGCCGCCACTACCAAAGATTGATTTAGTTGATCTATTTCCCACTACCAAAGACCAACGAAGCAAGTAATAAATCAGTAAGCACAATAAAAATTCATAAAAAAAAAAAATTAAGAAATTGAAATGAAATGAAGCAAAAATTACCTGACAGAAGAGAGGAGCACAAACTTAGAGTAAGAAGAATGGCTGCGAAAAGCTATGCTTAGAAAATTGAAACCCCTCATCTTCTTTCCTTTTTCTATTACCAAATTGTTTAAGATTTAACACTTCTTCAGTATTTTCTAGCAAATCAGCTTTAAGCTATGGATCAAGTGAAGTGAGTAGTGAAAACAAGGAATGTGAAAAACGAGTAGAAAATTCGTTTTTTCGGTTTAACCGAAAATCGACCACCGAACCGAACACTGAACTTTTTAAAACTATAAATCGCAAACCGACTGAATAAATCGAAAAACCAAAACCAAATAAATCGAAATTTTCGATTCGGTCATTTTTTCGGTTCGGTCGGTATTATTCCCACCCCTAGAAAAAAGTGGACATCAACTCATATTTACATGGGAAAACTACACTATATAGCCTCTTTAAAGAAAATAGACGAAAAAATCTACTATATTTTTTATATATTATGTATAATATACATATTTATATATAATTAGTGTATATTTTTTATATATAATTATTTTTGGTTGATCGACCATATATATATATATATATATATATATATATATATATATATATATATATATATATATATAACTTGCCCTGATTACATCCTTGATATTTTCACATTACTAGTTTTTCTCTTTGTAAATATTTTTTTTTTCATTTCCTCTTTTCTTAGTGGGAGTTTGGACATAAGAATTATAAAATTCCAACAAAAAGTAATTTTTTTTTTTAAGTGAAAATGACATTTGAAAATTAGAGTTGTGTTTGGACATGAATATAATTTTGGGTTGTTTTTGAAGTTTTGTGAGCGATCTGAGAGAAAATTTTGAAAAAAAACCTTTTGGAGTATTTTTAAATTTTTGAAAAATTTCAAAATTCATTTTCAAGTGAAAATTGAAAATTTTATGGCCAAACACTGATTTCGAAAAAAATTAGAAAAATTTTGAAAAAAATGAAAAAATTCTTATGTCCAAACGGCTCTTAGTCAAGCTCACGTATACTAACTCAAATGGTTGAGCTATGTTTAGTCTGGAACTTAGAGAAACATTCTTTCTATCAAAGAAGAATTTCATGTAGGATGTATGTTAAAAGATTGATTTTCCTTTACGAAGAATTATGACGTTATAATATAAATGTATTTTGACTTTTTTCTCTTCATCGCGAACAAGTTCACTAGTTTAATGAATAAAATAGAGGAAGTACCAATTTCCAGCTTGGATTTTCTATTTAAATTGATATTCCAATATGCTCATTAGTTTTATTAGAATTTCTCAATGGTTTGAGTATATGTGATTGTATGTTGTAATTTTTTATGATTTTGAATAACACATCTTAAGTTAACTTTTAAGATTCAATTAATTCCAATATTCATTGTCATATTAGATTCAACATTTTGTTCCCATGATTTAAGCTAACACAGTAACAACAACAACAACAACATATTCAGTATTATCCCACATTGTGGAGTCTGGAAAAGATAGTATGTAGGCAGACCTTACTCCTACCTTAAGAGGGCAGTATTTAAGCTAATACAGCGACACAATCAATTTAGTTCCACCGATTCTAACAAATTATTTATCCTTTTTTCCATGTTATCAATTTTACCTTATTATTAACATTATTTCTACTTGGTTTTTGGAGAATTTAATAGTGTGGATGCTGAGCTGCTAGCAGGGCGGAGCTGCAGTTCTATTTTCGGTTTTAGTGTAATGTAGGTAATTTTGATTCAAACATTGTATTTGTGCTAAAACTTCACTTCAAATACAAGGTAAACTCACATTCCTAGAATCCAAAATAAATAAACTCAAAATCCTAATTTCTCCCCAGCGGCTAGAGGACATTGCATATTACTACTAGATTTATTCTTGCCACTGTAGTAGACTAATTAATGCAACCACCAAATAACCAATGTTGCACAACACGAAAAGCTCATATCAAATGAAATGTTCAATTATATAGGAGTAATAGATTACAAGAAAGCAGAACTCCAGTGGTTTTTTCGAATCTCAATATGCTCGACACTGTTGTAAACAAAAGAAAAAAATAAGCAGACTTACAGAGAAATAATTAATTGATGAGTTCATTAATCTTTTTTGGCAAAGAGGCCGCCAAATCCGCCGAAGCCGCCGCCATTGGAATTCTTCTTGGGAGGAACAGCAACAGAGTTCTTACCGCGGCTAGTGGTGCCAACACTCTTTTCCTCTACTTTTTTCAAAACTGGATCAACTTCCAATAGCTGATCTTCCTTCTGTAAACTCCCCAGGATAAAATCCAACAGCGACTTCTCCTCACTGCTTCCGCCTGAGCTCTTCGCTGCCGTAGCAGCGGCGTATACTCTTCTTCGCTCGGTGGTTGCTAAGGAGGCGGTGTATACTCTGCTTCTCTCGGCGGTTGCTATTGGAGTAAAATTAAACAAGTTCAACGAAGCCATTGGATTGCTAAATCAACTCTTTTTTTCTTTTGATTATGTGCAGAAGACAACTGGAGATGAATAAACTAGGAGCAAGTACTAATCTCCGAATGTGGATAATATAGTTTGTATGGTTTTTGGGAGAATGAATTTGAGCCCTAGGATGAAGGTGAAGATTGTGAAGAGAATTCTACGAAGGTAGTTGTAGCACGAGTTCTCCACAAGTTTATTATCCCTTTCTCTTCTTTTTTTCTTTTAAAATTTAAATTTTTCCTACCTTTTTCTTTTATTTCAATTTTATTTCGCTTTCGGTTTCCTTTTTCGTGTCGTAAATTTGTTTCGGATGGCAAAATTTCCTGTATTAGAGAGCTCATCTTCATCTTGCTACGTGATGGAGGAATTGACACGTGGCAGCTCATTAAACCACTATGATCAAACAAACGTTTTAACCATTAAATTGATCTAATCTTTCAATTTATTTCCAAGCAACAATGGGGTAGTTAGTAAGTCATACACTAGAGTATAATATTACCCGTAAAATGATAGAATTAAATTTGTTATGTGGTTTATACACAAACGAATTGATTTGATCCAAATAATAAATAAATTAAATTAAAAATAAGACTTAGTGTTAAAATCAAAAGAAATATCAAGCCTGGATCCGGGAGCAATGTTTCCGAGGACAGTAGTAAGAGCAATATGAGACAGAAAGTAAAGATGTATTATTTTCTCGAGAACAAAGTATAGCATAAGTTTTGCCAGAGATTTCGTGTCCCTTATAATAGTTGTTGAAGTCCCTATTTATATCTATACATAGGAAACAAGATCCTAGGATCAAGCCCCTCTTAAATGACAATAATGAGGATCATTGATAAATATGTAACGGTAAGTCATGAATGCCAAAATTCTTTGCAACGACTGCCTATTTAATACTGAGGAATATTCTTCATTAAATGCCATATGGTGACAAATATTTGTTTGTTTCCGTTGACTGTGTTCCCTTCGGGATCTATCCGATACCAACCAAAACTGTTGTCCTTGGTCTTGACCCATCTTCCGTTTGCCTCCGGTTCCACGTGTCGTGCAATCATTCGATCATTTAATACAAACCAATTTTACCATATACAGATAGTCCCTCTGCTTTCCGGTGACACATCTTTGTGTCATCGGGAAGTTGGTGAATATTCCTTTCTTGGGGGAAAATTTTTTGAACCCTTCTGAATATTTTCCGACGCTTGATAAGATGCACGTCTCCTCGCATTTAATTCTCTGAACACGTATTACTCCACGATTTAACAATATTTTCGCCGATTCTCGAGGTAATCATGACCACGATTTTAGCCGTCTATACCTTTACTTATACGTCTCATTCTCCTTCTTTCACTTCTAACAACTTCATAAGCTCTCTTACCCTCTTTGCACTTAACTTTCTTCTGCTTTCATCTCTCTCTGATCTTCTTCAAAAAACTCTATCATCTCCTTATCATTATGGCTTCTCCTACTAAATCTTCCAAGAACTCTGGTCTTCTCTTCGGTGGAGGCCCGAAGAGAAGCAAAGATAAAGGAGATAATGTTAATGCTGATCCTCCCACGGTGAGCACCATCATTCCTAAACATCTGAACACCGCCTACGATTTCCAAGAGAAGTTCCCCACCTCAAACCCTCGATCTTGGGCTGTTGGGAAGTATCCTTCTTCTATTCGTCCTTCCAATATCCCTAATGTGAAGGAAGATTGTAACTGCCAAGTCCTAAACATCATTGCTCCTGACCCGATGGAGCGGGTGACCTTCACCAAGAAGGGTTTTACGTATGTTTATACGTACCCCTTGACTTTGGGCCCATTCTCAATGAGCGAGGTACTTGTCCTCGTGATCTTGGAATTCTGGCACCAGTATCAAGTCTTCTTGGCACAAGTAGGCCCTTCTATGTGGCGAACGGTAGCTAGTTTGCATCGGTTGTGCTTGGAAACGGGGGAGACCCTAAACTTGACACATATGATGAACCTCTACTCTCCCAAAATCTCCCGCGGGGGAGTGATAAATTTTAGCAAGCATGACCATCATGCTTTGCTTACAAGCATGGATGATGACAATGACTATGGATTGATGGAGCGGTTTGTCGGCATTGCTACCAGGGATATCATCCCAGCCACAACTCCATCGTTTTCCGAATCATAAAACCATTTACGTAAGTTTAAAATCTACATCTTTCTCCGAAAAAAGCTGTTCCATGTCACCGCTAATCCTTTTCCTTTCGTTATTTCAGCTACTCAGTGGACACCACCAAGGGTCGAAGGCCTGGACCGAAGGGTTCAGAAGATTCTGGACATCACTACGGCAGAGACCCGTCAGTGGAATGAGTTGGCCCCCAAATACGGGTGGAGGGCCAAGAACCAGGGTAAACTGATTATTTCTATCTTTCGCCTTTGTACATAAGAAAATTTGCTAACAATACCTTTTTGCTTGATTCAGGGCTTCCGTAGGGTTCTATTTCATACCCTGAAGAGGAGGTTTTGGCTGATCCCGCAGAGGCTACGAGGTTGTTGCAAGAGGCTCTCACTCGGATCGGTGCCCTCGGGTCTGCTTCCGGTGTAGGTGCTTCCCCTCGGAGTCACCTGCTAGAGAACAAGCAACCAAAAAGGCAGAGTTCTTCTTTGGCCGAGGTAAAAAATAAGAAAACAAAGAAGGCCACGCCCGAGCCAACCGCAATCACTATGGTTATTGACAATGACGGGGAAGTGATAAGTGAGGATTTTGACTACTTATTAGCGCTTTTTAGCTTTCGTTTTAATCCAAAAATATTTAATTATATTCCCGAAAACTGATAAAATATGCTTAATTGCAGGAGTATTGAAAAATGAGCCACTAAGATGAAATCTAACTCAAAAAAGAGTGATATGAACTCAAGGACAAATATCAGGCACAGAAGCTCAAGTGCGGACCACAGATTTTCATCTGCGGCCGCAGAATGTGAAGAAAATTTAACAGAGTCCAAGTGCAAAGTGCGGACCGCACAATTATTGTGCGGCCGCAGAAGCTATGCAAGAGCTAAAGTTCAGAGAGTCTCATTTCAAGATTAAAAAGAAATACAGACCGCACACTAATTGTGCGGCCACAGAAATCAGCTATGCGGCCGCACTCAGAAATGTGCGATTCGCAGAAGAGCCCTATGCGGCCGCGCCAAGAATTGTGCGGACCACAGAATATGAGAGATGCGGCTGCAATCCAGAATTGTGCGACCGCAGAGTCAACTCCTGTCAAGACTGAAGAGAAGTGTGGACCGCACATGGAATTGTACGGTCGCAGAACCTCCAAAGGGCATTTTTGTCCAAAAATTCCAGCTTTGTATAAATAGACTAGTTTCACGAAATTAAGTCAAGTTTGAAATATTGAAAGTCTTGTAGCCGTTTTTACTTGCCTCTTTAGGAAACTTTAGCTTACTTTGATGATTTAACATTGAATTTTTATCTTTTAATCTTGCAATATGAGTTTTATCATCTTTTCTTCTTTATTTTCTTCTATACCCATTATTAATAGCTAGATTTCTAACTAGGATTGTGACCCAACCCTAGTGTATAAATCTAATGGGTATTTTATTTATGGCTTGATTATGGTTGAGAGTTTATTATTTAGCCTTGTTCTTGCTTTTGATTGTAGAATTAATGGTTGCAAATATTAGTTCATGCCTATTTGACTTGGTCTCTTCTTGAGAAAGAGAGACTTAGTCTAGAAAAACTTGGCTAACAAGAATTTGGGATAAAATCAAGAGATTGATAGTCCCAATTAAAGGGTTGAACCTAGAGATAGTAAAACCCGACTTGAGCATTTTATCAACTGTTTTGTTTAATATCCATTTGGATTTGAGAAAGCCAAATTGGGCAAACTTACTCTCTTACGGAGAGGTATTGAGTGGGTACTTGAGTGTTGATAGCTATAAAACACCCCGACCAATGAAACAAGTTTTACAGTTTACAACCCATTAGGCAAACACCTAGGTGAAGGTCATAGCCCTAGGCCTTTTACACTATTTGAAAGCAACAACAAAAATAATTTCTTAGTTTTAATTATTTATCTTGCAATCTTAGTTTAAACTAAATCTAAAATTAACCAAATCTTGTGAAAGTGTAATTTAAGTTAGTTTAAGCTCATCACCACAATATATACTTCTAAATCCCATTCATATATCTCCCTATGGAATTCCACCCCGACTCTTTGTTGGGTATTACTATTGCATCAACCATTTCATAACCTCAAATAGAGGTGTGACTTGGACGAAATCAATTTTTGACGCCGTTGCCGGGGAGCATAAAAATGAATTTAGCTATATATTTGGTTTTGTGTGTGAATTGTCTTCTTTTCCTTCCGTGTTACTATCTTTTTGGTGAAATAATTGTAGGTGAAACAATGGCTCTCAACAACAATGATCCTCTCGGAAATATGCCTTTGGGGGATGTGGATGTGGAAGATGACCAAGTTGAAGAGGTTCCTCTTGAACCTCAAGCAAATAGATGAGGCCAACCGCCTCAAGACAACATTCCTGTTCCACCCCCACCTCTACCAAGAGCGGCTCCAGATCGGGTGTTGCCAAATGAAGGGTATGCAAGTGCCATAGTCCAGCCCCGCATTAGGGTGGGAAACTTTCAAATCACAAATGTTATGCTCACATTGCTAGAGCAACCAGGATTCTTCACCGGTGCTCCGAATCAAAATGCGTACAAATACTTGAAAGGGTTTGTGGACACTTACTGGGGGAGTAAACAGACAAACGTCTCCAAGGATGCTTTAAGGTTGAGGCTATTTCCTTTGTCTCTACGGGGGGAAAGCCTTGGATTGGTTAGAAAGTTTGACAAACCATTCCATCCATACATGGGATGAATTGGCGGAGAAATTTATTTCCAAGTTCTTTTCTCCCGGGCATATGGCTACTCTTAGAGACGAGATTATAGCATTCAAACAAGAACCCAATGAGCCGTTGCATGAAATATGGGAGAGGTACCAAACTATGGTGAAAGAGTGCCCAA